CTGTGTAGGACTGGTTACACCTGAAGGGTACAGTTTCCTTTCCCTCAACCACAAAACAAACAGTAATTCTGAAATTTTGAATAGAAGACTGAGGTCATTTATGGGAATTCAGCATAAAGGCTTCTGAAAATTTATGTTTTTGTTCCAGCAACACATGTTTCAGCATACTTTTCACGAGCTTAAGCAGCTGGCAAACAATATGCGATTACGGAGAGACCAGCGCGACTACAGTGCCATTCTGAAGACAAAAGCATATGAGCAGAAATTTTTGAGTGAAGAGTAGTCTACTAAGCGTTTGCTCAGGGCAGTTACCTACTTGTTTCAAATTTTCGTGTGAGTTAAATACTTTTATTTTCATAGACAAGACAAAGAGAGAGAGAGAGAGAGAGAGAGAGAGAAGAGGGAGAGAGAGAGGGAAAATGGGTTGGATAACGAGAGCTTAGGTGACTTAAAACAAGAGGTGATTTCAGTAATGGAGAATTAGCGTTTGATTATATTTTATATAATTATATATATAAAATATAATCAAACGCTAGACTGAGCATAAGAACATGATTTTCAAGGAGGTAAATTTAATTGAAATGTTATTTGAAGTAAGTTGCTTTTGACTTCATATGGCCGTGTTTCATACATGCACTAAACAAAACTTGCAAGAGTTAAAAAACTGGAGCTTTGGTTTAAATTCTAAAATGACACCTACAAGAAAGTGTAACTAATCTTTTTAAATTAATCAAAATGTTTTTTGTAAATAACTGTATTAGTAGTTAGTTAAAAAAATGAAGCTTCTATAAGCTCAAACTGATAAAAACATGTCAAGGTTAGAGCCATACTCAACTATGAGTCAAAACCAGGACCATTCTCAATTTTGAGTGAAGATTATATATTTAATTTAACCATTTTATTTATTAAACGTGAAAAGTCAAAAATAATTTGATAAGTATATTGACAATATTACAGAAACCAAGATGAAAGATCTTCACTCTTCTATTTTTTCTAAATATTTATATATGTATATATTCAACTTATTAGGCACAGGGTCTAAAAATGACGTCTTTTAAATGTCTTTTAAACTTCTTTCAAAACGTCTTTTTTAGGTCCCGCGCTTATTGGGAAGATAAATATTATTAAAGTATAAAAAATGCATTATTTACTCTATTTATATAAATATAAATAAAGTAAACATTGTACTTTATTTTATTTACACAGATTTATGTATTTTATAATATTTTTTTACGCTCACTGGCGCATTATCTGAAACAGCCAAGAATTTATTAGGATTTTAATGGTCATATCATGAATTGCAACCCCAGTGGGCACGGGACGTAAAATAGACGTCCTTAGGACGTTCAAATCGCGTCCGTCTGTTCTATTAAAATTCTAAACGTCTTTTTCACGTCGAATAATTTTTTCGTCCAAAAATATCCAGAATGCTTTATTAAATAATTAAATCACGCAAGCGCTAAAACTTCGTAAAATTTTTAAGTAACTTAAGTTGTTTTTCAATTATAAAAAAAGTCTTTTTACAACGACTAATAGACACAATCTAGCTAATTTTTATTTTTATTATCAATTACTTGAAAACTGTGGTAATATTGATACTGGTAATGAAATTTTAACAGATAATAAAATAAACGGTTTAAAACTGAATATATGCTATACTGTGTATATTTATTAAATATATCAAGTATATATTATATACTTGATATACTATAAGTATAGTATTGCTATATCAAGAACCAAGTTCTAACAATTTCAAAAATTTAGACATCTCATGTAGAATCGAATTTTTCAATAGGAAAACCTGTTAATGATACATAATTATACTGATAATTTTTTGAATTCAATTTCTTTACTCGACAACATTGTGCTATTTTATAATGGGACCAGTATATTAGTTAATGATCTTTTTGAAATATTGCCGAATCAAGGTTTGGAACTATCCAAAGATGCAAGGAGAATTTTAAAAACACCTAATAAAAGGCAACTTATAGACAGGTTCTTGTTTCATTGCTAATTTATATATGTATGTTTTTAAACATTTAATTACTTGAAAATCGTGTTAATATTGATACAGATATTGAAATTGATACAGATATTGAAAAAAATAATTAAAAGCTGGGTATATGATATACTATATATATATACTAAGTATATACTTGGCACTTGATATAGTATTACAAGTATAATAATTGATATACTATATCAAGAACCAAGCCCTGGTGATTTGAAAGACTTAGACATTGCAGAATCTCATGCTCAGTCATACTTTTCATAAGGAAAACCTATTAATAATACAGAGAGTTTATGCTGATAGTTCAATATAATTCAATATCTTTAATTAACAACTTTTTGATTGTACTATTCCAAATAATTGGACCAGTACATTAGTTAATAAAATTTTTGAAAAATTACAATATTAAGGTTTGGAACTTCACTAAAAACTAATTACTTAACTTTAGTAATTAGTTATTAGTGAAGTTCTAAAGTTTTCATTAAAAAATAAGTCTAATTGGAAAAATAAACCAGTTGTAACAGTTATATAAGAGACAGGAGGGTAGAAAATTTCCTTTACTCTAAAGGAAATTTTCTACCCACCTGTCTCTTACATAACTGTTATGACTTTATTATTTGATTTTATCTTTTAGAAGATAGATGTAAATAATTTTTCTCTTTTATCAATCTTTAAAAGTTCAATATGAATAATTTTAAAGCCAAAAGTGGCTAACATATGAATAACCACTATTCCACTTGTTGGAATGTTATTGGCAATTTACCAAGTAACCGATAAGAAACTTTCCATAATTTCTCATCATTTTTTTTTTATTATCTAGGAAGTTTATATATATATATATATATATATATATATATATATATATATATATATATATATATATATATATATATATATATATATATATATATATATATATATATATATATATATATATATATATATATATATATATATTCTGTTTTTATTTAAAATTTATTGAAAAAAATAATATTATGTTATCAATGTAGTTATTTCCTCCTTAATTCTAATTTTATTTTTCTTCATCTTCTAGGACTAACTAATACTTCTGATCTTTCTTTTAAACCATATATCAAATCCATTGCAAAATTAGCATCTGCTAATTTTAGCATCTGCTAAAAGGTTGCATCTCTTTATCGAGCTCGACACTCCCTTATTACAGATTCTATTCTCTATCTCTATAAATCTCAAATTCGTCCTTGTATGGAATACTGTTGCCATTTCTGGGGCGGATCTTCTAATGATACCCCTTCTCTATTAAACAAGGTACAAAAATGCATTGTAAACATAGTTGGACCTGCTCTTGCAGCCAATCTCAAACCATTGTCACATCATTGTGATGTTGCTTTTCTTTCTCTTTTCTACAAATACTATAATGGGGACTGCTCTAAAGCTAGTTTTTTTCTTTGATCATCAGTTATTTAGAATTTGCTTTCTTCATCTTGCCTCCCTGATTCATATAATTTGCAATCTTTTAAATCATCTGGTAATCGTTATCTTGCTTTATGAACTTAATCTTTTCTCTTCCAGTAACTTCCAAACTCATATAGTGGTTGCTCGCAGCCTTGTTGTAAGCTAAGATATATATATATATATATATATATATATATATATATATATATATATATATATATATATATATATATATATATATATATATATATACATATATATATATATATATAAATAAAAATTATAATAGCCAATTGTTTTTTAATCAATTAATATATAGCCTTTCATTCATTTACTTACTTATCTTAAGAATAATAAAATATAAAAAAATGTTTAAAGTTTTGATCTTTACTAGTGTGATTCTATCGCCAAGATAGATGATAATGTTTATACAAATTTATTGTAATCTCAATAAAGTTTTATATAGCATATCAAGTAAACTATATTTTCAAATTAAACTTGATCTAACCATGTGATTCGTTATGTGTTGTCGCGTGATAAGATTAATTACGATGTTGTTATGTGATGAGATAAGTTATCCTATTGTTGGATGTAAGTATATAATAGTATAAACTGCTTACAAATCTTGTAAAAAATGTTTTTATTTTGAAAACATAACAAAATATAGATCTCTTTATGCTTATTATTTACATCTAGTGATGTTGACATTGAACTTATGTGTCATTGGTATCTTTTTTTTTTTACTAAAGTAATGAGCGTTAGCTTCAATGCTTACTAAAACGTTTGTAGAGAATTTTTTTTTAAATTATTGTTAGTGTAATTTAGCAATTTATTGATGCTGTTTTAAATTTTATGACGATGCTTGGAGTTTTTTAATATTGTTTACAATGTTTTTTTTGCAAGAATAAGAAAAAATCACATAGTTTATACATATATAAAGTACATCTTACCAGATCTGAAAACTGATTCATTCCTATTTTGAAAAAACGGAATGAATCAAAAAGTCAACGCACGATTTGCTATCACTTAATAATAATAATTTTTTTTCCTATTACGTTTCTTTTTGATAAATTTACCTTCGTAAAATTAACTTTGTAAACGGTTAACTTACCGTAGTGGTTGTTATTCATTATTTTGTATATTTTAAATTTAAAAAACGAAAATAACATGTGTAATGATAACTTTTGTTTATATTGGAAATTTTTTGGCTGACTTTTAAAAGCAATATATGACCTGGCTGCTTATAAGCAGCCAGGTCATATATTGCCAAATATGGCTGATTTTTAAATGTTTTGCTTGATTCACGAACGCGTTGATGATAATGTTTATACAAATTTATTGTAATCTCAATAAAGTTTTATATAGCATATCAAGTAAACTATATTTTCAAATTAAACTTGATCTAACCATGTGATTCGTTATGTGTTGTCGCGTGATAAGATTAATTACGATGTTGTTATGTGATGAGATAAGTTATCCTATTGTTGGATGTAAGTATATAATAGTATAAACTGCTTACAAATCTTGTAAAAAATGTTTTTATTTTGAAAACATAACAAAATATAGATCTCTTTATGCTTATTATTTACATCTAGTGATGTTGACATTGAACTTATGTGTCATTGGTATCTTTTTTTTTTTACTAAAGTAATGAGCGTTAGCTTCAATGCTTACTAAAACGTTTGTAGAGAATTTTTTTTTAAATTATTGTTAGTGTAATTTAGCAATTTATTGATGCTGTTTTAAATTTTATGACGATGCTTGGAGTTTTTTAATATTGTTTACAATGTTTTTTTTGCAAGAATAAGAAAAATCACATAGTTTATACATATATAAAGCCTTAATATTTTAGCAACAATGAAACACATTATTTTGATTGGCATTCTTGTTCAATCCTATTCATTTGAGCTTCAAAGTTTTTTGAATAATTCTCAGACTCCTATGAAGGATCCGGAATGGAGAAGATTTAAAATAAAGTTTGGAAAATTTTATAGCAGCAATATTGAAGAAACATCAAAATATTTGAATTGGAAAATAAACAATGAAAAAATAAAAAATCATAATTCCGAAAACCGTTTTTTCAAAATAGGAATGAATCAGTTTTCAGATCTGGTAAGATGTTTTTGTTAATGTAACATGCATAGCTTTAAAAAATATTGATAAACTGCGTTTCTAAGTTAAATTTTAAAATGAATATACAAATTTATTTTATAAAAATTTATAAGAGTCTTTGAACGTCACTAACATTTCTTTATAAATAGCAAATAAATTTGCTAAATCTTTAAGATAAACTAGTATCTTGAAGTTTTTGAATTTGAATATACTATTTAAAAACCCAATGTTACAACTTTAAAAAAAAAAAAACAATGCAGACAAAGAAACAGTTTAAGTTATATCATGAGTCAAATTATTAAAAGTTATATAAGTTTAAATAATTATCTAATAACTTTTAAATAGTGTGTCACAGGATATGAAATAAAAAAAATCTAGACAAAAAAAAAAAGTTTTTCAGCTAAATGAACTGTATAAATTCAAGAAAAAAATCTTGATGCAATTGACCTTGGAATGAAAACCTCAAATGCCACAAACTATTTTTTGTTCAGAAGAGCATTTAAACTATTTACATTTTTCAAAAATACCTTTTTTTTTCACAGTCAATTGAAGGACATAATTTTTAAAGAAATATTTAACAAAAATCATTAAATGGACTTTTATATAGGCAACCAAAAAATAACATAAATTCAATTTGCATAAAAATGGACATTTGAGGTTTTTATTCCAAGGTCTTCTATTAAAAACGTATGGTAGACCTGGGAGTTAGCTTCAAAGTAGTCAAACATGGTAGACTTAGTAGTTACTTGGCTTCAATGTAGACAAATATTGTAAACTTAGTAATTACTTAGCTCCAAAATGGTATTTAAACAGTTTAATCTATACTTACTTAGTAAACAAAAGATATATTATATGCTTTCCAAAAATATACTTCATGTATGGGACATAGTAATTATAGTTTGAAGGCTAGTTTTTGTTTTCTCTTTGATCTACTAAAGATAGGTTCAATCAAACATAGGTTTAATAAGTGCCGCCGAAAAGTGGGGTCGCGAGGTACAGTTTGTCCCAGCGGCAGATGAGGGGCGCTAAATGAAATAGAAGTAACTAAAAAAAAAGGTCCTTCATATATAATATAGGGAAAATTTGAAAAATAAGGGCGCCAATCATGATAGCTGTCCCAGGGGGGCTTTAAATATAGATTTTTATTTAAAAAAAATCAATACCCTTATCAAAAACAAAATCTATTTGTTATTTAAAAAGGTTCATTACAATCATGCACAACAATATTTGATTTTTATTTAAAATGATTCTGTATATTTATGCTTGAGCCTGATATTAAAGAAATTATCTTTTATTGTAAGTAAGATTTTAATCTAAGTTATTTTATCAAAAATAACTATAAAAAGCGCTGGTTTTTAATAAGATCTGTATTTGATATCGTTGTACTCTCGCTATATCATACCTTTAATTATTTTCTTGTGTCGGTTATTGTTCCCAAGCTAGCGCACATCACGAAAGTAATACCATCGCGAACGTCGGTTATTTTTTCTGATGCAAATCCTATGTTAGTACAATTCCAGTGCTGGATCAAGGAAGGGGGGGGCTAAGAGCTGTAGCCCCGGGACCTGCCAGTTTAGGGTCCCCAAAATTACGTTAAAAGACGTTAAATGGAGATAAACAACTAAGTTGGCGCTGGTCGTTGGCTCAGTGGCATTTAAACCCTTAATTTGGTCTACCGGGAGTCTGAGCTCTCTAATCACACGACCTTCTAGGGACCTGCGTAATTCTGGTTTCAGTTGCAGGTGTCTCTAGTTGGTAGGCAGAAAAAAGATAATAATTATCATAAACAAACGTTCTTTCTTTGAATAAAATTGCTAATGTGATTAACAAAGTTGTTGATAATAAAATGAAAAAGATAGAACATGTCTCAGTGTATTAAAATATGTTTCTATGTGAGTTGTTTAAAAATCTAATTGTATGCAGTTGTTTTATTGATTAGAAAAATTAACTTCTTTATTTTCTCTGATCGTTGGATTCAATTATTTTTTTAACGTCAAAAAAAAAACTCTCTTAACGCCGTTAAACAAAGTGTTAATTATGTATAGAAATCAATATTATTGCTTTATTAAAGTAATTATCACTGTGTTTATTTTTAAAAACTCGTGATAAATGAATGGTTAAATTAATTAAACTGCAGGTATTTTAAATAAAACAAATGAGTTTGCAAAAAAAGAGACAATCCGTATAATAAAACATTGCAGAAAAACCTTACTCTATTTTAATAAAGAAAGAAAAACATACATGATTGCTTTGATGCAACAATAGGCAGTTATGATGGAAGAAATTGTTGGACTATATAATTTACATTTATAAAGTAAAATAATCAATTAATTAGTTCATTCATTTCTTTGAGTCTTTTTTGAAACACAGAGTTAAATGAAAATTGTTGGTTAAGTGGTTATATATATATATATATATATATATATATATATATATATATATATATATATATATATATATATATATATATATATATATATATATATATATATATATATATATATACATATATATATATATATATATATATATAAACATATATATATATATATATATATATTTTATGGCTATATTTTATGGCTATTCTCCTAAGGATATTCAATCTCTTGCCTATGAGTGTGCTCTTCAATACAAAATCAAAATACCAGATTCTCGGACAGTAAATAAATGAGTAGTAAAGAGTGGATGACTAGTTTTTTAAAAATATATCCTTAATTTTCTATAAGAAAACCTGGTGCAACTAGCCTTTGTAGGGAAACATCATTTAACGCAGCAAATGCAAAAGTGTTTTTTGATAAGCTAGGTGAAGTAAGAAATATATACAAATTCAGTGCTTCACAAATATGGAACGTTGACGAAACTAATGTATCTACAGTTGTAAAATCTAGTAAAATTTTGGCTGCAAAGGGCAGGAGAAGTGTTGGTGCTATGACATCTGGAAAAAGAGGCACTAATGTCACAATGGTAACCGTTTTATCTGCCTCAAGAAATACAGTGCCTCCAATGTTTGTTTTACCTCGTAAAAATTACAAAGATTATTTTTTTATTTTGGTCCAACAGACTGTATTGGGGTGGGTAACGGAAGCGGCTGAGTTACAGATATTGAATTCGAAAATTTTATGCAACATTTTATTAGGCATGTGAAGCCTTCAAATGAATATAAAATTATGTTAAATTTGGAAATGCTAAACTTAGCAAAGGAGAATGGTATAGTCATTTTGTCTTTCTCAGCACGCTGCAACCATAAGCTGTAGCCACTAGATGTATCAGTGTTTGGACGTTTTGAAAAGTACCTATCAGTTGCACAAGTTGCATGGCTAAGAAAAAATTCTGGAAAAACCATAACAATTTATGATATACCAAAAATTGTATCTGATTCATTGCTATTAGCAATGAATCAGATACAATTATAACGTGTACTAACATTACAAAGGGTTTTCAAAAAACTAGTGTATACCTGTACAATGCAAACATTTTTGCTAATAATTTTTTACCATCATTTTTCACAGACCGTTTAGAACAAGCAAATCTTGTATCTAAGCTATTAACGGAGCTCATTCTGAAGTAGGTTTAACATCATCTTCAGGTCAATCTGTCTAAAATAGTATTAATAAAAAGACAAAGTTACTTTTTTTGAAACTCCTAAGTATTTTCTCCAGAAACGGAGCGACCTTACCCAAAAGCAGTACCAAGAATGATACATTTCATGATACAAAGAAAAAAGAAAGCTGCAACTCTAACAGATACTTCAGAAAGAATTATCAAACAAAAAACTAAGATGACAAAAAAGTTAAAGACAAGTGCAAAACACGAATATGCTTGTCTTGTATGTTGGGAAACTTATCCTGAAAGTCTACTAAAAGAAAATTGGATCCAGTGTCAAGGTTGCAATCTATGCTGTCATTCAAAATGTCATTCACATTATGGTCAAAATTATTTTGAAGAATAACATTAAGTGTTTAGTTATTGTTTTATCATAATATTAACAAGTTTTGTTTAAAAATGAGTAAAAATAGTTGTGTTTAGTTTTAAGATTAAAAATTTTTGTTTGGTTTTTATTTTAGTCTCAAAGGTATTAGTTTTTATATTCATATCATAAATAATTAATTAAAATTAAAAGTTTATATTTAATTTATAAGGAAGCTATGTTTTGGTTTTATGAGTTAAAACAGAGTTAATAGTTGACACAGAAATGCATTCATTTTTTTATTGCTCAACTTAACCCACACAAATGCTCAACTTACCCCTCTTGGGTAGATTAAGCAGCCTAATAAACTTTAGACTATATTTTCTAAAACAAATTGAAATTTTTTTTTTTATTTCAACCATTTTTAGCAGATCAATTTATCTTTCTAATAGTGAAAAAATTATATTATTCCGATGTACCGTTCAAGAGATCTGTTAGATTTAGTAAAAATTGCCCTACCCTACCTTTAGGCTTCTAATCCTAACCTGTGTAGAATACTAATATAGAGATTAACAATATCACAGTCAAAATACAACTTTTTCTCTTTATACCTATTGGTATCTTGCTTAAAAAATCCCAATCCCTTTCTTTAATGAAAGTTTTTTATTTTATGTCAATTGCAAATAAAATTATATGTAAGAACTGACTTAGTGCACATAATACAATTATAAAATCTTTCTTCAAATTTTTTGTTTTTACGGAACTCAAAATTCAAAAAAATTTAATTTGCTATAAAAATCATCTCCACAAACAAAAATATGACACTTTTAATTGACATTTCCTGTTAAAAATCAAATAAAAAAAACATCTCCACAAACAAAAATATGACACTTTTAATTGACATTTCCTGTTAAAAATCAAATAAAAAAACATCTCCACAAACAAAAATATGACACTTTTAATTTCCTGTTAAAAATCAAATAAAAAAACATCTCCACAAACAAAAATATGACACTTTAAATATCCTGTTAAAAATCAAATAAAAAAACATCTCCACAAACAGAAATATGACACTTTTAATTTCCTGTTAAAA